CCGTATCTTCTGTAAAAATAATTGAGGTAGGATTCAAAAATTCGCAACTGTCAGAAAGATACAAATGATACACTCATGGAGTCATGGACCAAGTGGGATCATCTCCAATGATAACACTGCTCGCCAGCAGCTATGGAATCATCGATATTTCTGGATAATGCTATCAACAGGCAGAATCGAGGTTGAAAATGACACTCTGTATATATTCACCAAATGTGGAAAATAAATATCATAGGGAATGTAATTTCCAGATAAATGGATATTTGGTGAGAAATAAAATGGGAAATTATTCGATTTGATATCATTGTTATCAAGACATTTGAGATACATAAATAAGACCAATAATTTACTCAATTCGGAAATCAGTAGGTTGCGTTGAAAAATATAGCCTTATCGAAGATGTCCAAATTCCAGATACAGAACAATTTTTTTTATGGAACACCCCGTATATTTTGGCAGAGCTGGAAAGTTCCCGTTTCAATTTCAAATATATATCATATTTATTATCTCTGAATGTAAAAATATTAAGGCATACTAGAAATAATGGGTAAAGTATCATATTCAGGCATTCTGCTACAAAATATTATGATGATTGTTAATGTTTCCATCAATTATTCTTACTGAAGATACGGGGGTGTAACCATAAGAAATGTGACACACTGAATATATTTTTGCGAATATATCTGAAATTGTGGAAGGAAAAGGTAGGGTTATATATATATTTGTAATGAGAACGCCTGGGACTATTCAACTGTGCCAAAATATACGGGGTGTTCCATTAGAAAAAACATAATTGGCTGCCGTATTTTCTCTACGTCACCTTGTATACAATTTCTGATGATGCCAATGGATTCCACGCATCATACTGTATAAATATACGTTTGAAATTTTTTGATACCTCTCACCGTAAAGTAGTCAGAAAATAAAATCGAAATCGGCAAATTTTCAATTTCCCCTGTATCTCTAAAACGAATGAAGATATCGAAATTTTGATTGTACCATTCGAGGTTTCTCCAAAATCGAACCCGGAACATGTATATCGGTATTTCGATAACTCTTCTAGTTATTGAGATAGACGGTGAAAACGCCCAATTTTGCCCACCCTGTACCTGCACATAACTCAGAAGTGCTAGAGATCATCTCTCATTCGGATTTACAAAGAGAGTGATAAACACTCACTCTGAAGCGCCCTGGCCAGCTCGTTTTCCCGATGTCACCCTGTCAGACTGCTTTCTCTGGGGATATGTAATGAGCCATTTCAATAAGCGAGGCTTCGAAGCAGAAGAACTATTTCTTGAAACATTTCAAAGTATAACGGTAGAAATTCTGAATAATGTTCCTGATTCAACAGCAGAAATATGTCATGCATGCTTAGAAACCAATAGCAATCTTCTTGAACATCTCCTGTGAATTGATCAGTACCGTTTCCAATAGTTTAGACGTTCAATGACATTTTTTATTTTTGCATCAGTTTGATTATTTACTGATATCTTTTATTGCATTGATTGGATTATCGATGTTGACATATCATTGCTGAATGATGAGTCTGTGAACTGAAACCTTTTTTTAAATAATAATGGAAAATACAGGTCCGTTATTCAAAAAATAATTGATGATTGCCAAAATGAGCTCAAAACGCATTCAAGCTATAATATGTAGCATATTGTCGAGATCAGAAACTGAGGAGCTATCCGAATCTGTTTTCAAGATATCAGGGCAGAACTGATATTATCAGTGTATTTTTGTAGTAATCGGTATACATAGGACAGAAATCAATGTTAATCCTTTATCTATTCGTTTCTCTCGGAAAGTTTGATGACTGTTGAATCGATTCAACAATACAGGGTGGAAAGAAAAACAACATACTCCGTATGCAGCTTCCTCCTTTTTTTAAATAATAATGGAAAATACAGGTCCGTTATTCAAAAAATAATTGATGATTGCCAAAATGAGCTCAAAACGCATTCAAGCTATAATATGTAGCATATTGTCGAGATCAGAAACTGAGGAGCTATCCGAATCTGTTTTCAAGATATTAGGGCAGAACTGATATTATCAGTGTATTTTTGTAGTAATCGGTATACATAGGACAGAAATCAATGTTAATCCTTTATCTATTCGTTTCTCTCGGAAAGTTTGGACTGTTGAATCGATTCAACAATACAGGGTGGAAAGACAAACAACATACTCCGTATGCAGCTTCCTCATCTTATTTTATATGTTATTGAATGATACATCTTCTCTGAGATACAGTGTGTCAGGAATATGAAAAAAAAGCATGCTTTATATTAATTTCTTCGGAACCCCTACAGGAGAAAAATTAAACTCGGTACTCTATTACACAATGATCATGAAGTTTCATTTTCAAATTTCGATTTCCAGTGGCGTAGTTACGAACGTATGTCGTCCCATATATCTTCTTAGGCAGACGAAATGTCAAATTGGTGTATAACATCAGTTAGGCTCATCGATTCTTCACCTAGAAGTGATTACATTTCACATGCCCTGATGTATGCTGATTTTTTCACAAGATATCAGGACATTTTTCAACATCCTGAACATGCTCGAATATTGAGAACATTGAATACATAGTCCTGTTCAATCAGAAGTAGGTCAACGAAGTCACTTTGTATACTACACGTTATATCAAGGTGAACAGGTGAATTTTGTCTGTCTGTGCAACCTGTATGATACTTTCTGTGGAAAATTGAAATCTTTTCGATTCAACACGTAACAATATATTACCTGGAGACATTTCTGAAGTTTTTCGCAAATATCTCAGGAACCAATACATTCTGGCATGTGAAATGAAATTTTTCTCAGGTAATTCATCAAAAATCGTCACTAATGTCACACCAATTTGACATTCCATCTGTCAAGGAAAAACTATGGAAAAAAATGTGGCGAAATACGATCGTAATTACGCCACTAGATATCAAAATTCAAAATTCGAAACTTCATGTGACTACATTGATTAATCTGCAATAGTATACCAAGTTCCAATTTTTCCGTCCAGGGGTTCTGCAGAAATGAATATAAAAATATGTTTTCTTCCTACCTCATCAGAGTCATAGAATCCGCATAATTATGAATTTTGTCGGTTCTATTGTGACTCACCCTGTATATTGTTCCTTTCGATATTTTTTTGTCTTGATGGATTGGTAAGGTAACTGAGGCAGATTTTTTTAGAACAGATGGAACTAGTTGCCGAGATCAATGGTATCTCTTATGGAAGTTGTGCGTTACGTGAAGTGCGTTTTGTAAAATAATTTGCCCACCTGAATTCCGACTAACTCGGATAATTTGAAAGTTTTACCACTCTCTGCCTTTTTTTAGATGAACAGAGCATATTCGCCATCGATAATTGATTTAAAATTCTTGAAATTTGATGTTTTCATGCTATTTATGGATGGATGGATGGATGGATGGATGGATGGATGGATGGATGGATGGATGGATGGATGGATGGATGGATGGATGGATGGATGGATGGATGGATGGATGGATGGATGGATGGATGGATGGATGGATGGATGGATGGATGGATGGATGGATGGATGGATGGATGGATGGATGGATGGATGGATGGATGGATGGATGGATGGATGGATGGATGGATGGATGGATGGATGGATGGATGGATGGATGGATGGATGGATGGATGGATGGATGGATGGATGGATGGATGGATGGATGGATGGATGGATGGATGGATGGATGGATGGATGGATGGATGGATGGATGGATGGATGGATGGATGGATGGATGGATGGATGGATGGATGGATGGATGGATGGATGGATGGATGGATGGATGGATGGATGGATGGATGGATGGATGGATGGATGGATGGATGGATGGATGGATGGATGGATGGATGGATGGATGGATGGATGGATGGATGGATGGATGGATGGATGGATGGTTGGCAGGAGATGGCTGGAAGGCAGGGCATGGATGGCTGGATGGCTGGCTGGAAGGCATGGCTGGCAGGCAGGTGAAGGCTTGGATGCATGGCTGGCAGGCAGGAAGGATGGCAGGCTGGATGATGGAAGGATGGATGGACTGGCAGGGCTGGATGGATGATGGCAGGATGGAAGGAAGGCAGGATGGATGGCAGGTCAGGATGGAAGGCAGGATAGGCAGTCAGTCATGGCAGGAGGAGGTCTGGCAGGCATGGAAGGATGTGCATGGATGGCTGGCATGGCTGGCATGCATGGATGGATGGAAGGATGGAAGGAAGGCAGTGCATTGCATGGATGGCATGCAGCTGGCATGGCATGGCATGCAGGCATGGATGGCTGGCATGGCAGGATGGCGCCAATATCCATCGACCCGGACGTACTCATCACTCAATCGTTCAATGCAGTGTATATGCCATGGCAATAGGCTTATATCACAAAAAATTTCCATTTCATGATCCGATAGAACTCACCCAAACTAGCTCACCACCGCAAACTATTCCTTGCTGTGGCTGTGGGCTCCCTACGTTTTATAAAAAAATTATCGGAATCCTCGATTTTTTTGACCTCTGAAAACGAGGCGATGATGTGACGTCAACACCCTAATACTGAAACAAGACTTATCCAGGCATAGATGAATGATACATGATTTCTGACAGAGTGAAATAGCGCGAGATCACAGTTGAGAGAATTAATATATCAGTTGCCTCAGTCTCCGTCGGGCGTTCGGTATTTTGTTTTAACTATGGCGAGATGTGGTTTCTACGTCATAAAAGGGTCCGTTTTCAGAAGGTTCTCTTATTTATGTAAAAAAAATCCCGTCAATTTTTCGATCAAATTATGTCGTCAATCATTATTTATGTATAGAAGGATCATTATAAACATGATTTGAGTTAAAAGTTCTACTAAGGTGTACGCGCCCATTCAGATACAGGAATAAAACATGGTAGTTATTTTACATGCTAATCTTATCCCAAATAGGTACCATTCTAACAATATTCGAAATTCATTTCTGAATTAATTTTCGATTTGTTTCAGCATATAAACGTCGATGACCTATCTACCGATACGATTAATTCAATCGATCCCAGGTCCTGGTTGGTAAACGGAGCGAAACAAATACAAATTGTCCACGCTCCGAAGCAGTTCAATGGGGATTTGGAGATTGAAGGCGATACGACATGCCGAAGGATAAACGACATTGATATGGAAGAATTAGAAGGCAACGTACTCAGGAAAGATGGAGATCAGATTATCAGTGGAAAACATTACGTCAAATATGTGGCTACAGAAAAAATGTAAGTTTTTACTCAGAGCTAGGAAGCTGGGAACTATTTGTTATATCATTCTCTCATATTTAACGATAGATTCTGAAATTGAGATTGATATGAATTGATTTTGTTCGTTCAATGATAACGGTCACACGTCGTATGTTCGTAAGTTGATAAACTGTTCAGAAAACAGGAGGGTGCCTATTATATCATGTTTCCGCGTCTGCCCTTTGATTTATTGCGTTAATAATGTTTGCCCTATAATGAAAAATGAAACAGAAAAAGACTCATTCGGTGGAAGTGGATATGAACATATGATGAAAAATTGAGTCATTCTGCCATTCCGAATAATACGTGACAAGAATATCTACGGCATAGATTTTCATCGTTTCGAGAGGCATTTTGAAAATCAAAGTAGTGTGACTAGTGCAGTAGTTATGCGCTCAGTCTGTTGGTCCTTGGGTACCAACTAGGCTCATTACTCGTCATGAAAAGAGATTTAAATTCATAATTAATTACATAATGAGAGTTAGGTCGGATAGTGAAAAAGTTACTCCTAATTAAATCACAGTTCTTCATGGAAATTTTTCATCGATACTTCGTGGAATTCATGATTTTGAAACGTGTTCTTTAGGTACATTGAGGATGACTTTCTATTGGAAGAACAACAGAGACTATGATTTTCAACTTTGTTTCAAAATTTCATTTCTCTACAAACGTCAAAAAATGACAAGGTTCGCGCATTGATAACTAATTGCGGAGTGACACTCCTTTCAGTTTCCTACGTTTCCATGATACCTTTCACAAAACAATGCGCGAAGTAAAACAGTGCGCGAAGTACCTACTTCGCGCATTGTTATGTTCAATATATGAGATATTTATATTTCTACTTTATGGTCCTCAATCAAGCAAATATCTGCGAAATCATTTATTCCTGAATGTTCAACAATCTCTTGATTTTATCTCTTGGTGCGCACGAAACGAAATTCCTATTATGTTCGTGGAACATCGTGCGTATCTAGGAAGGGTAGGGGAGGCCTTTTGAGCCACTTCAATACTATTTTGTATATCAAGCTAAGCATATTTTTACTTTAGAACTGTATTTCTTGACGTTTGTAGAAAAAATTGTGTTTGCAACTCGAGCGCGAAATACTTTGGTCATCTCGACTATATTTCGATCTTCAACTCGGCTACGCCTCGTTAGAAAAATCAGATCTCGATCACCAAAGTAGCATTTCGCGCTCTAGATACAGAAATAACTATCAATGTTCTAGTTCCTACGAAAAGAAATATCCTGTTATGTTTTGAGAACTAAAAGAAAAAAGGTGGGAATTGATGTTCTCCTTGAATTTCTGATGGAGGTTATATGCCTCGGGAAACACCTCCCATGGTAATGTGTTTCAAAGCCTCGCAATTTCCTATGAAAACTCTATGATATCAATGAGAGTGGAATGTATCCTGCAGTTATATTCATAATCTGTTCCTGAAGTAAATCCTCAATGAAGTCCATAAGGGAATAATTTTGAAATAAGTTCTGCAACAGTGACGGCTCGTCAGGGACGGCAGGGTCGGCCGGGCCGTACCAAATAATTTGGGGAAAATTACTGAACTATTTGATGAATAAAATTATTTTCCGAAACTGTTTTCATAATTCATCGCTCATTATCCTACTGTTATGCCACTATTATTTGAATTTCATTCATGGAACCTTTGAGTATGCCATCCGCATATACACCGAAAATCACGAACTAATTCAGGACCTACGACATCTGGTAATCCCATCGTCAAAACGCCGCTTTCAGTTGAACCGCTCGCGTAGCTCATTACACTGATGCAGACGGCCGGCCGATCGGTGATTTCTTGTCTCGACGCATCACCACAGGCATCGCCTACAGATTCCCCGCTTCAAGTTTAAATTTTCGCTTATACGCGTCATACCTTGGGTGCGGCCACGTGCGGCCAAGCTCTGCTAGCCGTCCAACGTATCGATCGTACCTATCAGTATCAGTTGTTTGCAGTGCGCTCGCTGTGCACCGTATCGAACCATTCCGACCTAATTTTTAATATACGGATTGGCATGATTGATATTCAATTTTCATTTTACATTGTAGGTATTTATAATTTTAATTCCTATACTTATTTGTAAGTTGATGTTGGAATTTGAAATGTACAAACTGAAAAGAAAAATAATTTCCATGTTTTTGTTTACGCTTGCAGTAGTTGCAGTAAAAATGACTGGTGATTTTTGAATTTGCAATTTTTCAGTAATTCATAATTCAACATATCCATCTAATATTGGTGTCAGAATTTTCCTTCAGTGCTTCTGAGCGTCAATATGTTATAATTCAATTTGAATATTGCTGTAATGTAACCTACTGTGCCTCTGCCTATGTAGGTAATATGGCAAGAAAAATGTCAGCAGTCCAAGAGCTGAGTAGGTATTGAAACATCGTAAAAAAGCTCTGGTGACGAAAATGTAATAAATGTATAACTTCCAGAATATCATTTATTTTCAAAGACGCAATTAGCGGTTATAAACTACCTAAATAATATTTGTGATCCATCGCATCGCGGGAAACATTATACCTACGGCTGCACCCTGCACGCGGGCTCGGCCAGCCGACTACGAAGGAGTGGGGTCAGTGGGGTGGCTTGTTACAGGAACGGCGTAGACCGATGACCGATTAGTCATTGTTGTGCTTCTCGCGTTAGGTGAGTGGTTGTCGGTTATGTTGATTTTTTTGAGTTTACATTACGTTTTCAACAGAATATAAATATTTTTTGTTCACGAGTTATTTTATTTTTATTTTCTTTCATTTTATTTTTTCGACTTTCTTGTTATTATTTTTTCATACCAACTAACCCTTATCCACCTCCTTTTTCTTTCCCCATTTCCCCTGGCGAGAATGCTCTAACCTCGTGGTTCTTGCTGGACAATTTAATTTTTTGGTTATGTGTACAGGGTGATTCACCATAAATGTCCCCCCCTCTAGCTCAATTATTTTTAAACCGATTTCAAAATTTGAAATATCATCTTGAATGATTTTTGATTGAGTTTTTTTTCGCTACATCAGAAAATACAGGGTGCTCAGAACAAACGATCTACAGGGTACCATTTGATTTTTTTATATGGAACACCCTATTTTTCATTGTATTTTTAGATTCTCCCTGAAAAGCTGATTTGCTCAGTGCATCACACTTGGGGTCTATCGGGAATGATTTCAGAGATATAGGGTGTTCAAAATCGAGATTTTTGAACTTTAGGATTTTTTTGAGACGAAACTATTCATCATCGGTCAAAACGGCTTTCATGTCCATATCTCAACTTTTGATTTACAATCTACTGACATTTAATAATTGGAACAGATACAGGGTGATCAGAATTCTGAATCTTGAACCACCCTGTGAATGTTCCAATCAAATCTCAATAGACAGTTAATCAAAAATTAAGATGGAAACATAGGAGCCGTTTCGACCAATATATAATGAATAGTTTCGAGACAAAAAAATCCTAAACTTGAAAAATCTCGATTTTGAACACCCTATATCTCTGTTATCATTCCCGCTAGACCCCAAGTGTGATGCATTGATGAAATCAGCTCTTCAGGAAGAATCTAAAAATACAATGAAATACAGGGTGTTCGATTTGGAAAAATCGAGTACCTAGTACCCTGTAGATCATTTGTTCCGAGCACCCTGTATTTCCTGATGCAACGGGAAAAAAATTCTGAGAAATCATTTTAGATCATCCTTCAAATTTTTGAATCGGGTCAAAAATAAGTGAGCTAGAGGGAGAAAGGACAATTATGGTGAATCACCCTGTACATGCTTATTTGCCATCGAACTTCACTCAAGCCGCTGACCCACTTACGTTCGCATTTTAGAGCAATATCTATACCCTGGCCGACCCAGGTTCTGAGGGCACGAGCCGTCACTGTTCTGCAAGTACATTCAGTATGAGTCCTTTTCAACAATTGCCAATTGACTCTATCAGTATGAACTTCGTTCAACAGATACTTTCATTATCAGTTCCTTATGACAAGTCCTAATTAAAATACTGTGATATTTATGAGAGTGAAATACATTCGGCATGTTAATTCATAATAAGTTTTAAATTGCACTTGCTAACGAACTCTATGGGTATTCAGTCTGTTTTGCACATACATTCATGATCAGTTCCTAATTGGGATTCCTTTTCGAAATACCTGTGTCCTGTAGGTGTTTGAGATGCGTCATGGAATAACATTTCTAATGAATTCCCAATAGCAATCCCCTACATGCACTATGAGTATATACTTCGTTCTGCCGGTACACTTATCATAAGTGCTCTATTGGAATTCCTCATCGAAATACCGTAGCATTCATTGGTTTGTAATATATATTTCAGGTTCATGCAAAATGGTTTTATATCGACAGTCAGTTATATACCCCATGAGTATGAACAGACACATCCATAATCAGTTTCTTATAGCCATTCCTGATAAATTATGAAAGTGTTCCTGTTCCTGACTAGAATTTCTTATTTGAATAACGTGGCATTTATGTGTCAGAAATGAGGCTTGCAGATACATACATATTAGTGAGGGTTACTTCGCTGTGTGCACATGAATATATACGAATGAAGGGAAGTGTTGTATATGGTGCAAGATAATCTATTCAAATTTATTACTCGTAGCAGAGCGCTTTCGACTGTAAGTAAGTAAGTAAGTGATCTGCTTTTAGCTATCGGAGAATATTGAAAGATTTAAAAAAATTATTTGTAAAATTCTTTTCGAAATATTTTTTGAGAATTTGATGAAAAATATTTTTTTTTGGAAAGAATTGAATTGAATTTGTGACTTGTTACTTGTTAATCAACCTTCGATTTTCGGTTTTGAATAAAGACATGGGAGAAAATTCTTTTCGAAATATTTTTTGGGAATTTAATGAAAAATATTTTTTTTTGGAAAGAATTGAATTGAATTTGTGACTTGTTACTTGTTAATCAACCTTCGGTTTTCGGTTTTGAATAAAGACATGGGAGAGAA